ATATATATATATACGTATATATATATATATATATATATATATATATATATATATATATTATATATATATGTGTGTGTGTGTGTGTGTGTATATATATATATATATATATATATATATATATATATATATATATATATATATATATATATATATATTTATATATTTATTTATATTTATATTTATATATTTAGGGTTCAAGTGGATATTTTTTCGCGTAACGTAAATATTGGAGAATATTTTCAAACATGTACTTCATCTAGCTTGGTACAAATCATTTTAGAAAGACCTGTTTTCCTATCTGTCGACAATTGGGTGGTACATGAACAATACAGCGATACATATTCGTATTTTTTTCTTCAACGCGCTCGCCTAGTTTGCCTATGCATGGATCAATGCTATTATTAAACACTACGGATGTCTGCCATTGCCCACGTTGAGCTTTACATAGTGTAACCCGATGTCGGTCTGCGAACGCCAGAGATTTTAACCGCATATGCGACGACCATTCGAGATCAGTCAATGAGCTGAAGTGCATCACACACACGCCATACCACTCATCCCCCCTACGATTGTTTAGCTAATATGCCGTACACCCTGCCACCCCCCATATTAGGCGCAGTACTCGGATGATATACTGGCATCACTACTGGTGGCTGCAAAGTCGCCGCGTGCGTGTCGTGACCTCTTTAAACTAGTGCCGAGGCACATTCGCAAGGCGCTGGCCGAAGGGATCTCAGGAGCTTGTCCACCGTTGTTTGATGACATGCCTGGTATGTGTGTGTATGTGTGTGTGTGTGTGTATGTATGTGTGTGTGTGTGTGTGTGTATGTATGTGTGTGTGTATGTGTGTGTGTGTATGTGCAGGCAGCACAGTTGTGTCTCATCGGGGATCAGAAAGTATATCAGAGCCCATGAGGCTATGCATGAATCTGCCCGGCGGCGAAGCTTATTGAGCATTGGAATCGGGTGTCTTTGGTTGTGCTTTCTATCGATTCCTGACTGGTGGCATACACGGTGATTGTCGTGCGTCTTCGTCTGAGTGCCGTCTGTCGTTGTGTGGGTTGCCTAGGCCAGATCACCGGTTGTCCAGTCACGAGAGATACTTTTTATTTTCTTCTCTGAGGAAGCATCGGCGCAGTGTAACCTCGGACTACCCTGAACATCACACATGAGTGTTCAGTGGAGGAATGATCTTCAGAGAACTTCGATTGTACCTGGTTACATTGTGTCAGGGTGAAGCTTGCTGTTCCTTTGTCGATAGCTTTTCCCCAGCAACTTCTAGATATATTCAAAGTATATGTTACTGAACACGCACGAACAACCTTCACCACCTCAAAGGGAACGTTGTGTAGGTATATTCGCTAGCACACTATCATACCCTCAGCCCATTTCGTGAACGTTTCTCCTTTTCTGCTATTTTGACGTAACGGATTCAATGATGCGTATGCTCGACCCAAAAATCCCTCGCAGCTGCTTATGTATATCGCACCTGTATTGCAGTCACTCACTTCATGCCTTATTGGACGTGTGTGCGCTTGGCTTGTCCACAATTGCTTCCTGCGTAACTAATCTCGTTTCAATAAAGCCCTAAAACCCAAATCCCATTCTGACGCACTTTTTGGACTGCCCCGGTCTGTCCTGTCCTGTCCTGTCCTGTCCTCTTCTCGCACCCACAGTGGAGGTGGCGCAGGTGATCTTCCACCACATGGATGTCAAGTCGCTTGCCCGCCTGTCCGAAACTAGCAAACGGGTGTACCGTCTGGTCAGTGACGCAGATGTGTGGCGCGCTCAGGCAGAGAAGTATGGATACACACTGCCCACGACCATACCCGAGGGCAGCAACGGCATGAAGCACACGGTCATGAAGCTGTTTAGGGAGAACAAACTGGCTGAGAAAAACTGGCTGACCGGCAACTACAGATGTACGCAGGTGCGTACAGAGAGTGCGGGGGTGTACTGTGTGCAGTACGACGACACAAAGATAGTCAGCGGATCACGCGACAGGAGAATCCGCATCTGGGACCCCACCCAAGAGCCACCGGGGCTGATCAAGTCGCTGAATGGGCATTTAGGCTCGGTTCTTTGTCTTCAGGTGTGTGTCACGTGTGTAGATCCGCGTTTTACGAGAAGACTATACAGCTAGATGTAGACCGGATTGTTGTCAATTCTACTTGGTTTGGAATTCCTCTTGCCTTTGCAAAATCCACCTTCATCCTCTATACCACAGTTCGACCGTGAGAAGACTAGACAGCTGAATGTTGACAGTACATATTGATCATTCTACTTGGATAGGAATTTCTCTTGCTTTTGCTATGTTCACTTTCATCCTCTATGCCACAGTTCTACCGACTATACAGCTGAATGTTGACAGTACTATTGATCATTCTACTTGGATAGGAATTTCTCTTGCTTTCGCTATGTTCACTTTCATCCTCTATGCCACAGTTCGACCGTGAGCAGACTATACAGCTGAATGTTCTGTTAGATAGGAATTCCTCTTGCTTTTGCTATGTTCACTTTCATCGTCCATACCACAGTTCGACTGTGAGAAGAATCTGTAGTCAAATAAAGTTGAAGTACCATCGATCTGTCCACTCGGTTCTCCGTTCCTTTTTCCTATACCTTGTTCATTCACCTGCATTCTCTTCTCTACACCACAGTTTGATCACGAGAAGATTATCAGTGGATCCAGCGACACTAGTTTACGTGGGTGGGATATTCACACCGGCGCACTGCAGTGGGTGGTCGAGGCCCACGGCATGTCCGTCCTCAACCTGCAATTCGACGACACCACACTGGTCACCTGTTCAAAGGATGCTAAAGTTATTGTGAGTGGCGTGTGCTATTGCATGTATGGCTCATGTGTACCTGTCTAAAGGATGCTAAAGTTATTGTGAGTGGCGTGTGCTGTCGCATGTTTCACTCATGTGTACCTGTTAGAAGGATGCTAAAGTTATTGTGAGTGGCGTGTGCTGTTGCATGCATGGCTCATGTGTGCCTGTTGGAAGGATGCTAAAATTATTGTGAGTGGCGTGTGCTGTCGCATGTTTCGTTCATGTGTGGAGTTAGGGCCCGACAGCTTAGTGCGCTACATTATTCGTCAAAGGGTTTTCTTTGCATATCCACTATGAGATTCTGTGTCATATGTGAGGATGGGATGCGTGTTACTCTCTGCGACTTACACAATATATATATATATATATCTTTCTGTGTCTGTGTCTGTGTCTGTGTCTGTGTCTGTGTGTATATATGCCACAGATAACTCTCCAACACCGGCCTTTTTAATCGCAGCTGACTGTGCATTACATCATCTCCCCTTCCTTACCATTAGGTATGGGACATAAACGGACTCGCAAAACCTGTCATCCGCTACACGCTCGAAGGCCATGCAGCCCCTGTCAACGTAGTCAGGTTTGACTCGCGCTTTGTCGTATCGGCGTCAGGCGACTCGACCGTCAAGGTGTGGGATCTACACACATCCAAGTTAGTGCGGACTATGGAAGGACACACGCGCGGCATTGCCTGCCTGTGCTTCCAGGGCAATCTGGTGGTTACTGGATCCTCGGATGAGAGTATAAAGGTGGGTCTGTTGGCTGGGTGAGTTTGTATGGGGTAGTGCACGTATCACAGCTGATTATCGTTGATGGTGGTGGGTGAGTGTGTATGGGGTAGTGTTCGTATCACAGCTGACTGTTGTTGATGGTGGTGGGTCTGTTGACTGGGTGAGTGTGTTTGGGGTAGTGTTCGTATTACAGCTGACTGTTGTTGATGGTGGTGTTTCTGTTGACTGGGTGAGTGTGTTTGGGTAGTGCTCGTATCACAGCTGACTGTTGTTG